CTGGACCCCCATACTAGCTACCCCCTGGGCTCCAAGTGCCTCCCTGACTACTGCCCTGAGCACATTAAGTTGGCTTTCCCAAAGTCAAGCTTTTGCACTGTGCTAGTTACCCTCCCCACCTTTCTCTGACTAGCAAACTGCAGAGTTCTACAATTCAGTGACACTTCTTAAAGTCTTGAAGAATATTATTTGTTTTTTTTGAAGTTCAATAGCATGTAAAATATCCATTTTTTCATATTTAAAGTGCAATCTCTGAGCTTTTATGTAATACATGGAAACAAAGGGTTAATAATGCCCAGTAGTTCTTTATTTTACTAGTACAGTCAAAATTGTAGCTAGATTCAGTTTGGGTAGTTTACTAGCCTTACTAGCAGAGCCTCTAGATACCCAAAAAGCTCTGGATCTCAGTTCTCTCTCCTTTTTTTTTTTTGCTTGTTTTTTTTAAGGATGGGAAGAGTAGAAATTAAATTTGTAAAATGGTAGTTGTGCATTATTGAAAAATCAGGAAAATGAGGAAAGTCCAAATTCATAGTGGAGCAACATTTAACAGTAGAAGTTTTAGATCTCTCTCCTGCATTATTTTTTTTATTTATATATTTTTAAGTCCCACATGCATTATTATTATGGGTTGGGATTTTTTAGTCCCATGTTAGGCTAATAATAATTACATGTATATAATGCAATATATAAGAATACACAGTATAACAAAGTTAACATTCCTGGACAACCATAACTTACCAACCTTAACTTCAATGTTCAAAAAGTTTAATTTTTTCCAACATTGGGACTGAGAAATAATTAATGTTAATCTGAGGTTGAGAGCTTTATACATGGAGGTAGTTTAAATTTTTGCAATGCATTTTAAAAATACCAAATTTTACAGAGCAAAATCCACAACCCAGTCCCAGATATGCCATAAGTCCTTTAGACTCGGAAATAATTTATACTAGAGGTGCACCAATACATCGGTCCCATCATCATATTGGCACTGATAAAAGGAAAATTGACGTTATTGGCGATCAGCTTTTTTTGGCTGAGGTGGCCAATAATGTTGCCAGTAAATGCCATGTGCATGCGTGCAGCTGCAGCACAGCCCAGCAGCATGGAACGCAGTGTCTGGCTGGTAACTCTGTTGTGGCGGAAAAGGCATGGGGGAAGGGAGGGTTGTGTGGGAGGCAGACTGAGGCCCCTCTGCATTGAGGGCGGGGCAGAGGCAGGCGCTGCATTGCTCATGGCTCCGTTCTGTGCCACAGCTGCTTATCTGGGAGATGCTGGGGGGGAAGCTCCCACTGCTATGCGTACCCCAAGAGGAGGGGCAAGTGCCCTCCTAGATCTGCGCACAGAGCAAAGGTGGGCTGCCACTGAAGCTGGGGCTGCACTGGGCTGTTCCTGGCAGGGGAGCTGGGCTGGGAGGACAGGTGGCACTGCTACAGGGGGTTATGGGGTGGGCTGTAGACACCCCAGAACTTGCCATAGCTCCCCTCCCAGCACCACTGCCACCTGCCCCAAGCATAGCCCAGCCCAGCGCCACCCCCAGCTGTATGCCCCAATGGCAACTCATCCTTGCCCCACACAGATCCAGGGGCCGTATGCTCCCCATGCTGTCCTGGGGTCTGTGTACCAGCAAGAGCTGCCCCCACTCCCCGTGCCCCCCAGATGAGCTGTGGCTCAGTGCTGTGCCCCACCCCACCCTGGCTCACTGCCGGGGGCCTTGGCCTCCCCCGCTCCCCCCGTACCCCCATGCCTCTTCCTTCCCTGACGACAAACTTACCAGTCAGACATTGTTCTCCGTGCTGCTGGGCAGCATATTGGCAATCGAATCGGCATCAGGCAATATGGCTCATTAAAAATCAGCCACCAGTATCAGCCCAAAAAATCTCTACAAGTGCACCCCTCATTTATATCATTTCCAATTCTGGTTAGTGTAGTGACCTTAGTGTAGACTTGTGTCCTTGTGCATCAGTGTCCTGATGCTCTGTAAATATTGCTATACTGCTTCCTTTTTGGGAGGTTAGCTGTGCTTCTTGAACCAGCAGCAACATAATCCTTATGGCACTTCATCTAGGGAAATCAGTTCTTTTAAGGGTTAGCTTAGGTGGAGTACTGTGTGAATACAGCTGTGCTGCTCCTGGTTAAAAAAAGTAACCCACTTGTACCTCCCAAACCTAGCAGTATAGCAACCTTCATTTGTTGCCGAACACAATCATGCTGCATCTTCTCAGCAAGTGCAGCAGGATACTGGTGTCTCTTTGAGACAAAAGTTTAATTTCAGAGGGCGAGTCCAGATGAGCGCGCACGTGCCTCTTGCAGTGTCTCAGCCCCCTTTGAGATGCTGCAAGAGGCATATGAAGGAACAAAAAAAAGTTCCCTGTGCTGCAAATTTGTAGTGTGGGGACAAAATTAGACCCCTGGATATCCAAGGATCAAAAAGTACCCCAGGGGAAAAAATCAGGGCTATACCCCGAGGCAGCCAGCCCTCCACAGAGATGCTCTGGTAGCCAGTGGGAGTATCTCTATGCCTGGCCCTCGCCACAGTGCTGAAGCACACTGCCTGCACCGTGCGGGACAGGCAGTGGTGCAAGCTGCAGGGACCTGGACCCAGCTTCATGCCAGGTAAGTAGGGGGTTGGGGAGGCTGAAGGAGTGGGGGAGGGACCATGAGGGAGGGCCAGTCCAGGCCCAGCTCCCATTTATCCTCCCATACTCACCAGCAGTAGCAGCAGTAGTCTGGGCCGCTCAGGACTTCATGGCGGCCCCAGCTGCCTGGCATCCATCCTGCCACATTGCATTGGTGCACCCAGCTTGGCAGGGTACTGTGTGCTCTCAGAGCTCTGGGCCACTGGGGCTGAGCAGTGCTGAGCCCTGGGTGACGGCCACAGCACCCCTGAGCTTCCAGATGGCACATGGTGCCCTGTCAAGCCAGGCTGTACCCACATGGTGGCAGCAGCTGCAGCTGGTGCTAGGGAGCCAGAGCCAAGCCCCGCTGCCCCCCACCACATGGGGGGTGGGGGAGGGTGCTGTGCCATGAGGCCCCAAGTGGCCCCAACTGCCACTGCTGCTGCTGGTAAGCTGTGGCAGTGCGGGAGGCTGGAGCCAGGTGGAGGAGCGATTGGTTGGAGGGGTAGGAGCCAAGAGGGGGAGCAGTCAGAAGCCTGGAGCCAACTGGGGGAATCCCTAAATCATCTCCAGCCTCCTGATCACTCCCCTGCTGGTCTCCAGTCTCCTGCTCGTCTCCAGCCTCCGGAGGACTGGAGACAGAGCAGGAGAACAAGTAATGGGCAGGAGACAAACAAGCCCCTGGAGAAAGCTGAAGACGTTCCCCTGCTTGTCTTCAGCCTCCTGCTTGTTCCCCTGCTTGTCTCCAGCCTCCTGCTCCTCCTGAGGCTGGAGATGAGCAGGGGAATGCGCTGGAGACCAGGGGGAATTGGCGGGGGAGCTGGGACCCTGCAGGCCCACCCCCTCACAAGCAGCCCCCACACCCATCTTCCCACGCACTGACTTGCATCCCTCCACACCCACCCACAATAATATTAATACAGAACTCATAATAAACCAAATTAAATCACAAAATGTTCCTGTCCCTGCTGTCCTTTCTAACTTTCTTTGAAATACCTTGGTCATTTTTTGTTTCTCTTTTCTGCCTTTAAGAGGTGTATTTTCCCTCATTTAAAAACTCTTACTATAAAATCTTTTTCTTCAAGATGCATTTAATAGTATTAAATGTTAGAACTATACAGTTGTGGAAAGAATGGCCTTTCATAATTATAAGCCTAAGTGATCATGATTAAAAAATAGTCAATTCAAATGAATTTTATGAACCATAAAATTATTTATATTAGTACCTTCCCATTACCATTATTATTCATTCAACATTACTAGTGTGAATAATTAACTGTAGTGCATACAAACAGCAGATTTTCAATATGGAAGTACCATAAAACTACAGATCAGTAAAACTGGGGTTAATCCTAAGGGGAATGAAAAGAAACACTAACCCAGCTGCCTCTCTCCCTTAATAACTGTTACACTGAATAAGCAGAGATCCTGCACAACACACTTTATGATATAGTAAGACTTTATTGCCCATCTAGTCAAGGGGAGAAGAGTAAAAGTGTAGACACCCCTAATTCTTTCAGCACCTGGCATTTGTGTGCTTTTTGTTGCAACTTCAATATATCTTTGTAAATGTAGATTTGCAATATGCATAAATTCTGCCTGCTTTAATAATATAGCAAACTCATTAGTAGAATCTAAAATTTCCTTTTCCAAACTTAAATTGTCTTCAAACCAAATACTGCTTTTGCTGGCATGATCAAGTTTGAAATGTAAAAGTCATATTTTCTGCTTTGTTGTCATTGGAGATGGGGGGCTTTCTGCTAAGCATATGTGAACACTTTCTCTAAAGGCTTCAGTTATTCAGAGGGCAATATTTGGTTTGATGACCATTTTTAAGCATATGAAATTTTACACAAAGACTGTTTCATTTGCAAGCATTATGATTTTATCCTGGTGTCCTACAACTTCACACACTAGCTTAGAACCTTCATTCTGTAGGGTCAAGAATAGGAGACCACAAGCAGCATTGGTAGCTTATGTTCAGACCTCTTCCACATCAGTGCACTACACCAGTGATTCTTTCTGGAGAATATAACCCGAGCTGTTAGTAATGCTGCTCTTGTAGGGAGTCTCAATTTAGAATTAAATAAGGCAAACTATCCAGTTAATTCTTAAGTATTCTTATTAACACCATCATGAAAAAGTAAAATGAAACATCTTTGCTCATATTTTCATTCCCAATTTCTGGATAATTTATAGCAATATATATTAAATGAATGAAAACTGAAACGAAAGATTCACTGTCATATTTACGTTGTGTTTTGTTTCTTGCAGATCTAGAAATGGCAATAGCATATTGGAATTTAGTCTTATCAGGAAGGTTTAAATTTTTAGATCTTTGGAATAAATTTTTGTTGGTAAGTATGTTTTTCTTCCTGTCAAAGTTGATTCACATTATTAAGGTGAACTAGGCAATTTGGAAGTGGTGTACATAGCAGAGAAAAGAAACACCAAGTAAAAGGCATCAGTTTCTTTCTGAGCATGTTTGCATTTGAAAATTCATGTGGAACATTGTTAAGGCAAACTCAATTAATCATATCTATATAACTTCCGTAATGTGGAGAAAAGGAGGTGAAGCAGAGAGATAACAATACGTTATTTTATAGTTTGAGTACTAGGTGACCCTGTATTCTCCTCTGGGGGAAAGTTGAATGTACAGTGTAACTCTAATTTTAGATTGTGATGGAGCCAATGTAGGTTCAGATTCACAGAAGTTTAGGGCTGGAAGGGACCTTGTGAGATCATCAGGTCCAGACCCCCTGCTCTGGGCAGGAAAGACTGCTGGAGTCAAATAACCCCAGCAAGGTGTGCATCCAGTCTCCTTCTGAAGACCTCCAGGGTAGGTGCCTGCACCACCCACACTGGGAGTCTGTTACAGAGTCTGGTCATGTGAACCATGAAGATGTTTTTCCTTGTATCCAGCCTGAAACATTTTTCTAGGAGTTTTTGACCATTGCTCCTGGCTTTCCCCTGGGGTGCCTTGGTGAATAGTTGTTCGCCTAGCCCTTCATGCACTCCCCTGATATATTTGTAAGCTGCCACCAGATCTCCCCCCTGAAGTCTTCTCTCTTTTCTAGGCTGAACAGTCCTATCTCATCCTCATACTGCTCTGTTTATCACCAGGCATGTTTTCCACCAGATTAAAATGTTTTACTTGTATGTTATTTATACACACAATACATGCAGTATCATGGATATTTATGAATACTTCAATTATATTCAGTTCTTTTCTGACTTGAAAGTTTGGGAGACTTTTTAAAATTTATTTAAACCAAAAAAAAGTGGAGCTTTTAACTAAAAAATGTTATAACGCCTTTTCTAGAGAGCAGTCTGTAATAGACTGAAAGTTATGGTACTTAAAGAATATCATTTTTCTATCCATGTACTTCTAGAGGTAGGGGTGGGGGGAATCTAAATCTCTTTGCAAGGGATATAGTATTCTACATACTTAATTTAAAAAAAGTTTATCTTAAATAAAGGATTTTGCCATTTAACTCCCTTTTACTCTAAAAACACTGTCCTTTGCATATGCCTATGATCAGGCAGTTTCAAAGTAGCAAAGTATTTCCTTAAATGTAAAACATTTTATTTTAAATTTCCTGTGAATCCAGCTCCAGAGCAGCTGGGGTTTATAAATGGAAGGTCTGTGTTTTGTACACCAGTTTCTCCTGACAATGTCGTAAGATTTCACATCGTGCCCTCTTTGAAATTGAGTATAAATTTTAATACATTTGATATCTCTCTTTATATCAGATGTTCAACTTTTCTTTGCTTAGCCATGTAATCAATGTTCATTATGTAAGATTTTAAAGATTGCTGTCTTCACAGTATTGTAGGTGGGGCTGGTGGCTCCACATATTACAGTTACCCGACACTTCTAATTAAAGGAGCCTTTGTTTGTTTCTTGTAATTTCAACTGTTTAGGCTGAAATTTTACATGCCAAGGGCCAGATCCTGTTCCACCTATAGGTGCATAAGTGCAATCCCACTCCACTATGTTCAAGTCCGTGGGAATCCATTAATGCTGTGATCAGCAACACTTTTAGTCTGCAGGCTGGAATGAACCAGTTCAGATCAGAAGTAGCTGGATGCTAGGACCTAGCCACTGCTGCTGCTTTTCTCCACAGTGGCGCAGGGAGTGCATCTGCTGCCACCACTTTTTGCTGTGGTGACTCGGAAGAGGGTCCACTGCTGCTACCTCTCTTCAAGGTTGACTGCTTCCAAAGCCTCCCATTACTAAAGCCCCATCTCCACAAGCTGAATCAAATGTCTGTAGATTGCTAACCCCTGCATTAATACATCTTTGTTTTGGAGCACACTCATCATAGTTCTGAGACCTAAATTGCACAAAAGCAGAGAGAAAGAAAAGGACCTCAACCATCTTTTATATTAACTTTTTTTGTGTGGATTCAAGCAAGTAGAATAAGATCACATTAAGGATCTGGACAAATTATGTTTTAGCTGCTTTAAAAGGGGAGGGGAAGCTGCCGCTCAGGAATGTGCAACAGCTTAAATGGTGTAAATGTTCAGCCTGCATGATGCTATAGTGATACAAGTGGGCTAAATTGCCTTAACTTGTACCCCGAATGATATAGGGCTAAAACTGCAGCAGTTTTGCTACACTGGTATCATTCACTACAGCATCATGCAGATGTAGTAATTGTATTGATACTGAAGGATACCACTGTTACATCTTACTTGCTGCTTAAGTGTATAGAAAGTGGAGTAGGATCTTGTCCCCAACACCTGTCTTCAGGTTTTATTTATTTATTTGTAATTTCAACCAAAATGGTTCAGCTCTATAAAGAGGCAACTGAAACTTACGTTTTGCCTGTGTTAAATGTTTTGGGTTACTTTTTTTCTTTGAAAAACTCTGTCTGCTAGCATCCTCTTGCCATGTAAAATCTGCCCAACTCTAATCAGGAGTTGGGCAAAGAGTCTGTGCTCCAGCAGCTGCATAGAGAGAGGTGTGGAGTCCAGCATTAGCAGATTCAGGAGGGTGCAGTTTTCTATTGGCAGAATTCAGTTTTTTGTTTTTTTTTTTATTATTTTGATGGCTAAAATTGATGTTTATTTTTAAGCATTTATTTAGACTTTTATCAATTGAAATTTTCAGAATTGCAGAAAATTAGGGGTGTTCAATTTTTATCAATTTAGCACACACATGACAGCTGCTGCAGGAGCTGAAAGCTGTGCTGGTAAGGCTGTGCCAGAAGCATGGTTTGGGGCAGGGCTGGTAGCACTTGGGAGCCTTGTGCCACCAGCCCCTCACTCTGCCCAGGTCCCAGCTGGGGCAGGGGCCAAACTCCCGTGGAGCCTGGCCCAGCGGGAATTTTGCCCTTGCCCTGATCCTGGATGGGCATGCCAGACTCTGTGAGTTTGTCTCCTGCCCTAGCTGGGACCTGGGCAGAGCAGTTGGCAGGCAGCACCGGGCTCCCTGCTGCTACCAGCCCTGCCCTTCCAACCCCCGCTCCCGGGCACAGCCTTACCAGTGCAGCCCCCAGCTCCTGCAGCAGCTGTCATGCTTGTGTGTGTATACATGCAGTGTCCCAGACCCAGATTTCTTTGCCTCCACCCTGGATTTTTTTTTAATGTCTCCTTTCTACAAATTTCAATAATTGACCTGTTAGTGTCAAGTGAAATTGATGTTTATCAACATCTAGCAATTAAAAATTAAATCCTGCCAAGCCTAAGTATTATGGTCTCACTCTATTTTGATTCCTGCTCCACCCAAAATTTAAAATCTCCTGCCTGGAAACAACACTGGCATTTCTTATTTGGGCAATACTGCAGTCAGTTGACTTAATGACTCATTATAATCTACCTGATTCCTGCTGATTTGCTTTTCATTTCACAGGTGTTAACAATTTTCTTTCCTTTGTGATCCTCTTGAAGTTTCACTAATCAAGCTACCCTGTCTTCAGCAATTTTGCTGTCTGCTTGCTGCTCCTGGTCTTTCCTCTCTTCTCCTACTTTACAGTCTGCAGAATATTTTTATCTGTTGTTAGAATCCTAGATCTGCCCACGGAATTCACTCTTCAGCTACAATTTTAGCTTTTGGTGGAGCAGCCATGAGCTGCTGACTTTTTGTCTGTAAAAGGGCGAAAATTATAGTTTTTGCCTGAGCAGAAAAGTCAGGGTGAGTGAACTGAAAATTGGGCACTCCAGTCTATGTGGCCATGGTTCTGGAAAAATCTTTGTTCTTCATTCTGCCTTCCCCAAAACAAGGTGTGTATCTTATTTGAAGGTGTGGTATGTGAGAAAAGATGGTGATGAAAGAATATATCATCATGCATATTCATGAGGGAGCCATGTTAAAGTTGCATAGGTAACCTTAAATCATGATATTTCATAACTTGAGTGCTTGGCACTGCAACTTTAATCTTTTAATTTTTGTGTGACTAATACTCTGTATTTCAGTGTTTTCCCAGAATTAATACATCATAGGAGGATATTCTCTGTAAGCATCCTGCTAATTTAGGTTAACACAGGCAAACACAGGTGTAAACTGAATTTGTGTCTTTATAAACAAAACTCATCAGTGTGCACTTGTAATTCAATGGCATATTTCATCTTAAAAGGCTTCGAGCCTGTGAATGCCTGATTTCATATCCTAAGGTAACTGGTTTTCAAATACTGTATTCCTTTATTGTTGTGACTCTTCTAAAGTCTGTTTTGAGGCAGTGGAAGCAGCATTTTTGAAATGTCAGTAATACAGTAGGGGTCCATCATGTACATGTACGTGAAGTGTGATTGGTGTACTTGGCCCCATATAGGACTAGTCCTAAAAATTTTTGGTGGTATATCCAGTTTATTGTCCCCATATGCTGTGGTTGGAGGCCACAACCTCCTGGCTTCTCCCTGCCACCCTTATTTCCACTTGCACTTTCTCTGTCTATGGAAGCACATCATACTTGTACATAATATTTGCAAATCTTCATAATCTCTGATAACATCTTTTTCCTATATCTGCTGGCAATGGAAAGGTGCATATCAACTGTGAATTAGGGAGAGAAATTAAGAAACCATAGTCGTATCCTGCAAAGGCTACCAGCAAGTTGAAGTAACTGGGATTGCAAATGATGAACCGAGAACTGTTTTGGTTGCTATTTTATCATAGCTCCTTTATGCCTTATGATGTAATCTTTAATTATGTGATCCTGTGCTGTAACTTGCATGGTCCCCCTGCCTCCATCAAGTACAGGATGGACAGTACTCAACTTACTGAACAATTCTTCTATATTTTATCACTCCAGTTCAGTGTGTGGCTCTAGTCCTGTACAAGTCTAAGTATCACAGCTTTTAAAAAACAATAATGGGAGTACAGTTGAAGAAATAAAAGGAACTGTTCAGTTCAAGCAGCATTTTATTTCATAGTATTATTGGAAAGCTGCTGGACTTAGTAGACAGCATTATCATAATCATATTTAACTATGACATTTTCTCTTTTGGAAAAACTGGGTGTTACAGATTATTGTCAAATTCTGTAGTAGTTTTATTGTAATGCAATTTGTTTTCATATTATATAGGAACATCATAAAAGATCAATCCCAAAAGATACGTGGAATCTTCTGTTAGACTTTGGAAATATGATTGCAGATGATATGTCCAACTATGATGAAGAAGGTAACAAGTATTAATTTTTTTTTAATTAGATTTAGTAAAATTGGGATAGTTTACATAAACAAAAAGAACTTTGAATCTTAATATGTATTTACATTAGGCGTTTAACCGCAAATATACCATATCAGATTTATTGCCAAAAATGTCTCTCTCTTAGGCTGAACAGAAAAAATAAATAATTCTTGACTCTACTGCTTCAGTGTGTGCTATCCAATGTGTTATGTTACAGAAGTCTCGTTAAAACTGAATTTTTATACAAAGAGGATTGTTAATTTTTAACTGAAGGTTGCTATATTACTCTCTCATGGCAAAAATAACACACAGATATTTTTAGCGTGCACAAGTGTGGGAGTTAGTTAACTCTGCTTATGGAAATATTAATTCATAATTGGTTTAAACTTATGATACTGGTCCTTAATTCTGCTAATAAAATATTAAAAGAAATATTTCTTAGCATCTACATGTTCTCATTCAGATATATTTACACTAACAGCCTCTAGCCTAAAAACACCAATGTTGGAGTAACTTTGTGCACAAGAGTATTCTGTATGATGTGAATCCCTTTAATAGGATTAAATTACACTTCAGTTGTATTAAAAGCATTTTAAACATGTTCTTGTAACATAGAGTATACTGTAACATCATTGATTTCGACCATTACTCCAGTTTATCAAAATCCTTCTGGATGTTAGTCTTACCCTGCAGAATGTCTGCAACTTCACCCAATTTAGTGTCCTCTACAAATCTGCTAACTGTACTCAATCCCATCTCCCAAATCGTTAATAAAGATATTAAAGAATATCAAAACCTAGAACAGGTCCCTGGGTACCCGACTTGATACCTTCACCCAACTAGACAATGGGTCACTGATGAATATTCTTTGAGCATGAAAATCCAGCCAATTATATATATACACCTAGGAGTGTTTTTTTAATCTAGTCTGTATTTCCTTAGCTTACCATGATAAAGGCTTGACTAAGTCAAAGTATATCACATCCACTGTTTTTCCCCCTCTTCTGTTCCCCACCCTATCCACAGAGCCCATCACCTTGTCATAGAAGGAAATCAGGATGGTTAGGCATGACTTGCTCTTGATGAATCCATGTTGACTGTTCCTGATCTTTTTTTTTTTTTCTTCTCCAAATGCATAGAAACGGGCTCCTTGATGATCTGCTCCTTGATCTTTCCTGCTATTGAGATCAGACTGTCCAGTCTGTAATTCCCCAGATCCTCAGTCTCCCCTTTCTTAAATATGGGCAATATATTTGCCCTTTTGCAGTCAGCCAGCACCTCACCTGACCTCCATAAGGTCTCTAATAGCCACTGGCTCTGAAATTACCTCAGCCAATTCCTTCAGTACTCCAGGATGTATCCCATCCAGCCCTGCTGACTTAAACATCCAGGTTCTTTAAGTAATCCTTAACTAGTTCTTTACCTACTCTAAGCTGTTTATGACCTCCCCATCCTGGCTGCCAGCTGCACTTGTCAACTGATAACTAGCCTTATTTGTGAAGACTGAAGTGAAAAAGGCATTAAATAGGCCTTCTCTGCATCTCTTATTACCCTCTGTATTCAGTAAGGGGCCTGTGCTGTCCTTGGTCTTCCTTTTTACTTCTGATGTACTTGTAGATTTTTTTTTATTGTCTTTTATGTCTCTTGCTAGTTACATTTTAAATCATGCCTTGGCTTTCCTGATTTTTCTCCCTGCATACCCATGCAGTACACTTATTCTCCTCCCCAGTAATGCAGTTGAGAGAGAATATGCTTTAGTGTTTTTATGCTTTTTTACTGTTTAGGCACATTTTTGTATTTTCTGAAAGATTATGCAGTCACTACATTGTAGTCAGTCCAACATCTAAGTAATATCATGCTGTGAACTTGTGATCATTTGTATTTAAAGACTAAACAGGTTTCTCTTAAATTATGAATCATTTTTTGGTTTTTATTTAGGAGCATGGCCTGTTCTCATAGACGATTTTGTGGAGTATGCACGACCAGTAGTCACAGGAGGAAAGCGTAAAACATCCTAACCACAGACTCTTCATAATAAACTAAGTTTGCAGTCTGAACTGCATCAGGTAACGAAGACATTTTGGCCAATAACCACGCACACTGTTGCTGGTTTCAGTGGTCATGGTGAGACACCACTGACAAAACTGAGATTTGCTCCTTTTTGCCTAAAGGAAATGATGGCTGACTTATGGACACTGCAAGAACAAACTCAGAAGATAGTCCAGGCTGCTCGTAGGATATTGGCTTCAATTATTGTACTGGGTGTATCATATAGGATGTAGATTTTTGCATGATTTTATACTTTGGAGAAGTTTAAATAGAGGCCATTTTATTGAAGTTCTGACAGCACAGCATGCCATTCAGTTCATGATCCAAGGTGAACACCAGCAGTTACATAAATAAAACTGTATTATATTGTACTTATATTAAAAGCAGTATTTGTGGTATATAAATTAAATCCCTAAATAAAACTTATGTAGTATGTTGTATTTTTATACAGGTCAGCTCTGTGAATTAGTCCTAATCATATAAACTTATGACAGAATACTTACTGATATTTTTTTTTACTTGAAGCCAGGATTCTAATTTTATATTTTTAAACTTTCTAATGTATAGATTGATTGTACCTGGCTTTTTTTCTCACCTTAGAATTAACTTCATCAGTGTTCACAAAGTGTTTAGTCAAATTAGTTAGCAATTGCTACTCTACATTGTATTGTGACTCCAAAGATGCTTTGAATAGGATTTGCGCTGTTGGTTGACTATTCCTTACCTTTATTAAAAAAGAAAAAAATAGACACTTAAACAACCAAAGACACCTTTTATAATTCAAGTGTCATAGTTAAGTACAATTTAGTTGTTCTTCAATTTCACATTTTCTGTTTATTTTTTGTATGTGGTGAATTGATGAGATTGGCAGATTCTTTGTTGTTAGCCTGCAATGTATGATAAAAAAATTCCAGGCAAATGCAGCCTTCTGTGCATGCAGTTCCTGATTTGTTTGCTCCCAAAACAGAAGCAAACCTACAGACAGACTATAACCACAGTACAGATAACATATCTTAATACCAATCTGGAAAAAGTTTTGGACTTTGGAAGACTTCTTTCTCTACACTAAAAACTTCAGCACCCAAGTATTCTGGTAAAATAAAAATGGAATATTAGTGAGGGTGTAAATAGGTGCAGTACCTCTGACATCTGTGGAGTTGTATCTGTTTATACCAGGTCTGACTTTAGGTCAGTCAGCTGTTTGTTTTTTTTTTTTCCCCCCTCTATATCCCTCCATATAGACTGCTCTGGTATAGCTCAAGGGCCAGTCTTCTCTTTCTCTATAATGACTTCCTATCCCTGATTATAACATGTACGTATAAGAAAGAGATTTCACTGGAAACTTTCACATATTTTAACACACAGGGCTTTTGTAAATTCTACCTCATCGCACTGAGTCTGTTGTAGTCACTGTAGAAGTTTGTTAAAGGAAAGAGTTGTGGAATATTTACAACTATTTGGTTTAAGAGTTGAACTGTGTATAAGAGTTGAACTGACACAAGACCTTGGAAATGATAGGACGTTAACTAAGTTACATAATTTATTGGTATTTTTAATATTTAGATCGTATATAAGATCATTTTAAACATCTTGTGACTTAATACACCATTTTTATTCATAAATCATGAAGATACGAGATTCATAGTACTAAAACAACTCTAACATTTAGAGTTTTTAAGTGTCTAAGTTTCAAATATGTCAGTGGCAGCTCGTAATAAATATAAATAAATATTTATCTGTCAGTATGTAACATGCCGAGTAAGGAAATTTTACCTTCATTCTTTCTTCCACATGTGTGAGTTTCACTTGTTCATACTGTTAAAAAGGAAGGGGGACACCTGCATATGTTTGAATTGGCACATTTTCTTCAGTAGGTTCCACAGCAGGCATGGTACAAATAAACCATTCAGTGGGTTTTTATTCTTAGTCTAGTTTTACCCCTCTTGAGTTTTTTATGAACCTTACATCTTGTTTGACAGTTAGCCACTAGATGTCAGTATCTCTGTCTTTAGATGCCTATCTCCTTTCTACATGGGAGTTAATATTTATAGGAACTAAGAAATAATACTACATCTAAAACAGTCCTCTACCAGCTTCTTAACTAAGCTTATGCATCTGTGTAGAAATACATCTGAGTGCATAGTTTATTCTACAGAAGTCAAATAAGGCAAATTTTAAAAAGCAGGAAGAATTGCACTTTTTTGGGGGGGACCCCAAGGCATACCATCTGTAGCTATTACGTAGTGAGCATTTAATATCCAGTTATGTCAGCCACAGCTGCCAGTCAAATTTAGAAGAATGCTTATTTCTTAGAAAATTGTAACCTGAAACGTATGTATACAGTACAAAACAAGCATGAATAACATACTTTGTAGATCCATTAAACAACTGAATGGCTTGCATTATAGCAGAGCTTGTGCAACATTTGTTCATGCTGAACTTCTATAGATTCAGTCTATTGAACAACCACTTCAACTTTTAAAATTCATACACTGTGTAAAATCCTTTTTTACTGAGAGAAAATAAGGTGAAAGCACTAATGTAGTAGCTCAGATGAGCTTCCTATCTGAGTTGGGGTTATCTTTTTAGTTAGTCTCACAGGAGGAGGATGCTCAGTGGTCCCGATGCATTGCAATTTCCCTCAAATGCATCTTTACTCACCTGTTTTTAAATATAATTTCTGTGGAGGCTCTTCATGGAAAACAGCTGTTGTAAGAGAGACTGAACAGAGCAGCTTCAAGGGAAATTGGTTGCTTGAAAGGTTGCAATTCTTCTGGGTGGAGTACCTTCCTTCAGTGCTGTTTTCAGTTTTCTAAATCTCTGAGGCAGTCTGGAATTTAGCTAAGATCCCCTCACATAAGAGCACAGAACAATATCTCTTAGCTGTTAACTCTGAGGCATCACAAAGCAAAGTAAATACTTCAGATGCGTACTTGCCAATTATTGCTGTCCCATATTCTGACCTACTCAAAGGGGTTGACTCTGACTTGTCTTTTCAGTAAACTGGTATAGTGATAATATCTAGGATGACCAATTTTTTATAAAAGCAAATTATACAGAAAAACTTTAGGCTGTTCAATGCATATAGTATTAATGCCTAGACATATGGTGTATATATTTTTTTTTTAAGTTTGTGCCAATTTGGTTTGACTTGTTTAGAATATCTGAAACTGAGTCACGGCATTTGTACTTGACAGTTCTAAATCAATGTGATTATATTATGTATACCATGTTAAGGAGAGCGAACCCATAGGCATTCACTTACACAATGCACCTGAGAGTCTTGCTGCTAAGTAAGCTGTACATTTGTAAATGATGTGGGAATGCAAAAGGAATAAATAGACTTTCAACAGAATGCATCAAAATCAATCACACACATTGTTTGTATGACTTTTGTCTGTTTAATGTTTTGGTTGGACTGGTAAGTTTGGTTTTTTGTTTTTTTATATAGCTGGATCGTTCAGAAACTGGCAAATATGTAACAGAAACAGTTTTTTTTTCCCTGTTTGTTCTTAAAAGGGCATTTTGCTTAACTTCAAGCTCTTACTTTTCAGAAAGGCTTAGACTCGTCCTGCTGTGTTGAACTGCAGTGATGGATTCATTAAGGAACAGTATAGTGACCAGACCAACTGCCTGAGCTCCAGTCTGTTAACCTTCAAAGTGTAAGGGTAAAAGATGTCAGTTAAACAGCGTGGACTGTTACGCTAGGATGTTTTGTTTACTTGTCATAGATGCCATTTTGTTAGCAGAAAAATGAGGAGGTTGGGGCAGAAAATAAAGTGGGTTTTTATTTCTTTTTAAATAGGAATAATATGGACAAGTTTAAACACTGTATGTGTCTGAGTTAAAGCAACTGGAGCCTCCTGAGAGGAGGGAGTTGAGAAAGGGATACAGACTCCTTTGTGCTTGCACTTTGTGTAAAAACATGCAACGCCTGGTGCCCTCTTCTATTCTTGTTTTCACTTGCACCACTTTACCAACATGGTGGGAAAAGAGTCTCCGCTGGTGACCTGCAGGAAGCCCCATCTGTCTGGGTTTTTACTAGCAAATATACTACTTCTCATATGCTTTAATGTTTGCTCTCTGTTTCTCAAGATCCAGGCAGAGTCTTTCAGAAATCAACAGACATCCAATTTACTGGACCTCAGTCTTCCTTAGCTTCATGCATAACACTTGTTTTGTTGTGGGAGCTTGATGTTACAGTTCTTTATTTGCCTCTTCCTTTATCTCTCCTTTCCTACAATAAGGATAGTCAGCTACAGTTTTAATGGCTGTACATCCCTTTAGAACCTGATTCGCTTCACATTATAAAATCTCAAGAGCTGAGCTTCATGCCCATAGTCATTCATTCATACCCAAAGATATCTGCCAAAAGGTTATCCATGAAACTGGATGAGTGAGTGATACTCCAACAATAACATTGTTTTGTTTTGCAAACCTTGCACTGTTGCTCATAAAGGACACTTTCTTTTTGGCTTCCATATATTGCTTTCTAGGTATGCACCCTGGACCATGATGTCTGCATTCCCACACTATCTCCTGCCAGCTTCCTGATCTGGGCTTGTATTTGTTCTGCACTGGTAACTCTCTTACTGTTTCAATCCTTTTCCTGCTATTTGGAAAACATTTTTCTTAGGTTAAACTTGTTTCAGTCAACAGCCTCTCCTGTTAGGTGGAATCATATCCCACAGATGATCCTGTCTTTATTTGGGGAATAACTAGATGTGAATGCTAGAGTTCTCAAGTCTATACCATAAGTGTCCATGCCCTCTTGTTTTGCTTGGTTTGGGAATAAAATTAAGCATCTCTACAGTCTCCTTCCACTTGGAGTCAGTGTACCTTACTCAAAAACATCAGTTGCAGTGCTTTTAGCATAATTCCTGACAATGCCTCACTCCTTTCTTATCCTGTTTCCCTAAAGAGAATAAAAAGCCTTACTTACATTTTCTTATCCTCAGCCCCCCAAGATCATCTAGCCATACCATTCCAGTTTTCACTTCGATTCTTATGCAAGATTTTTAGGCCTGGAAATTTAGCTTTCCAAACAGTGAGAAATCCCTCTAGGCTGTCCATTGGCTGTTTCTACATGCTGGTTTGTTTGCAGCTGTTAATCACACATGCTCTTCCCTGCTGTGAGTATTAACATTACTTTTATAGGAATAATTGTTGCTGAAGCTAAGCCGTTTATTTTGGCAACCACAAAAACATGACCTCTGGCTGAGATCTTGCAAACTGTAGTAAACAGGCTCAAGCCTATCAACAAGAGACCAAGGAAAATCCAGGTGGTGGTAGGTAGCATGTGTTTTTTCTTCCATTAGAGTTGATTCTGCACCTATATTCCAACATGGTATTGGGGTACTCATTGTTGGAGATGTTTATTTGGGGTGGAAGGGAGGAAGGAGTGACAGTCATCCAAGATTCTCCTGACAACTTCTGTTTATGATGATAATTTGTATACTGTATCACCTTTGATCCACTGTCATACACCAAGATCCCATTACACTTGATGCTTTATGAATGCAGATGAAAAGATGATTTTGGCCCTGGCTAACATAGTTTTAATTAATCATTATTGCAATAACAGTTGGGGTTAAAAATCCAAGGCAGTTTTTAAAAGAATAAGTCTTAGCCATTGTCTCCTGATCAAAATGTTGTTTGCTTGCATAAATCCCCTGTAATCTCAAATAGATTTGATTTTTTTTTAAGAGTTTTTTTAACTTGTTACAAGATGCCATGCATTATGTCCATAGTATTTTCCTTTTATTTTCAATATCAGAATCCTTTTAAGTATGGGGACATTACCTAAAATGTATTAAATGAGTACAAGGAACATGTGGGAAGCAAGGATTTCTGGGGGTTCTATCTTTTATTGGATCAACTTCATAATCTCATACTTCCTGGACCATCATGGCTATAACATGGGTCCAACACTTACTACAAAGAACATATACTGTACTTACCCAAATCTAAGATGAATTCAAATTTAATACACCTCCCCCCCAGTAATTAGATTCTAGACATAGAAAATTTATAATTTTCCACGTCTATAATTTAAGTACTGGGGGGCCATGTTAAATGAATCTCTACCCACTACTGTAATGGGGAAAGCAGTGGCAGGGGGGTGGGGTGCTTCTTGCCTTCCTACCCATTGCCCCCTATACCTGTGCCTGACTACCCCCTCACCCCTGCTCCCCCCTGCCATGGACCTTCTGCTGCACCTGTGTCTCCAGGGCAGTCAGTAGTGCCAGCCCAGCCTCAGCAGTAGTTGTGGGGCAGGCTATGTAGTCTCTCCCATGTTCCTCCAAGCCATATGCTGTGGGTGTCCCCCCATGTGTGCTTTCCCCTACACTAGGGGTGGGCAAAATGATGGATCAGGCCAGTGGCCAGACTCCATTTCCCAGCAGCCCCTGCCGGTGTCACTGCACCCGGTTTCCATGGTGCTGTGACAGTGTGGAGCCAGGCTTTCCATGGAGACCAGACCCAGCAGCACTGGCAGAGTATGTGGCTGGATGGGGGGCTGCTCTGGGGCTGGGATCTTGCAGTGGTGAGCCTGGGGTGTGCAGGCAGCAAATTGCAGCTCTGCCCTGGCTTTGGCCCATGCTGTCACTGTTGCAAGATCCCAGTCCCAGAACAGCTCCTTGTCCTGCCACGTGCCCGGTCAGCGCTACTGGGTCTGGTCTCCTTGGAAACTCTGGCCCCACCTATTACAGCGCCACTGCTGCTGGGGTCTCCATGGAGGGGCAGCTGGGAAATGGAGTCTGCTGTGTGTCCAATCTGGCCCATGGGCTGGACTTTGCCCACCCCTGCCCTACACTGTACAGTCTTTCCCGTCCCCGTCCCCTGCTGCACAAGTCACCCCAGCCTGGGGCAGGCAGCAGCTCAGTTCCAGCTTCAGCTCAGGATGGAAGCTGGAGCTGAGCTGCCATCTGCCCCAAGTCATTACTTAAATCTGAGATAAGGCATTTCTGGCTCTCCCCACTCCACTGGGTTCAAGGAAATAGATATACCTTGGATGCCTTATGTTTTTTATTTGACTGCTTCCCATTTTGAAGTAGTCTGAGTTGTGTCTTGTCTTGCTGAGGCTTGCTTCGGTATACATTTTTAGCCTGATCAGATTGATCTTAAGTCTTTTGTGGCTGGGCTCACCCATGCTATCAACTTGTTATGGAGATCTATGAACAATGGGTTTTTCAGTCTGGCAGCCAAATCCTGAAGCCTCCCCACCTCTCAACCCTCTTAGTTTTCATCTGGTGCCACATTGCTGCCACCTCCTTGCTTTTTTATGAAAATCAAGCCCTGCAAAAAAAACTCCTTTCAGACACTAGTCTGCAAATAATGCAAATAGTTTTTCTATTTTGTGTATTGTATTGTCGTCCTGAGAGAACTAAACCATCAATCATAACTTTTTGAGTTTCATTAGAGCCTAATTTCTTTAAAAGGGGGGAAAGGCCCTTCCCTGTGTTTAAACTGCTATCTAATATAATGTGCTTAAGCATGACTCTTGCTATATTTTGGGTGCAAGACACTTGGAAGGAAATAAGTGTCAGACACCTCAGACAACAACACATTATAGTGATGTCATTCAGAACTTAAGAACAGAGACATCAAGCTCTTTGCTTTCTTGTTGAGAGAGTCTGGAGAATAAGATCCCTCTTGTTAGAAGCAGGAAGTTTAAAGCACTGTCTTTGTTCTGATATCAGCACAAAATGCCTTTGAATGAAGAAGGATTCTTCCCTAAAAGGTCAAAGACAGAGACAAAAGAGAGCACAGAAGTTTTGAAGGGTGTAAGAGGACAAAATCCATGACAAGGGTGTCCACTCCTCGGCCAAGGATAAGACAAAGGGGGAATGACAACAACTTTGCCCATTTCTGGAAAGAAGCCTTTCATCTGATAAGGCCTGTACTTGCTCATAGTACTAGCTTTGGTAGTTGATTTTCTTGCCTCTTCTTCGCAGTGACACAGCTTACCCAGCAACTCAAATGGACTAGGTATAGTGGTCAATGTAGAGGTCTGGGAGGATGCTAAGTCTTGTAAATGAGACACAGGATTAGGAGTTGAAAGGTGCTTCCTCCCTAGATGGCTGGTGTGATCTTGAGTAATTCCTCTGAGTTTCAGTTTTTAATTATAAAATCAAAGTTTCTAAATTCATAAACCCATTTTTGAAAACTTCTGTCTCAGTAAAAATATTTTATTTATTGGTTTTACATATTTAAGAAAATGCAAATGGTGCTTTGAAACTGTCATTTTTCGTCATCTGCTATAGACATGTTGGAGAAAGACGCTGATATGTGGTCTGAGGGAGTAGGGGGAGAGCCCTATTTGAATATAAGTATTGAGTATTGGGTTCAGAGTGCTGCTGTGTCTTTCCCCATGTCATGTTACAGTTGTGGTCACATTTGTGATAAACCAAACCATCTGAAAAATACTAAGTACAAAAACCAGAAGTGTTTGTTTATCAGAATGTGAGATCATTACTAGTTTAGACCTTTTCTGTGTAAACAATTGTCCTAGACGCCTAGGAAAGTCTCTCTTTTTATTCCAAAACATATATAATGACCAGCTTTTGGCCTATGCTGGTATGAAAAATGTAAGAGCAAAACAGTACATTAGTAGTTATTTTGCATATTTGTTTACTTTGTCCAATGAGAAACAGTAAGGTAAGTAGTTATTTTTCTTGCTGCTTTAATGAATTAAACATTCTGATTTGTGGGTACAAAGAGTACAACTTTTTTTTTAAATCAGCCAGTTGAATTTAGCACTAATGTTTTCTGGGTCACCAGTCTAAATCCAGTAATGTACCCATCTGTGCTTCCATTTGATACACCATAGCCATGAGATATAGTTAGAAATGTGAAAGGTCTACTGAATTTTACTTGGCTTGTAGTCCGTAACCTACCAAACTTGATTCCCTTGAGGTTTTGGGAGTAGATCTGGGCCATCTCTTCTAACAGGAGACTGCTTCTAGTTTTTGCTCCATTTTACAAAGGGAACAAAATTATTACCAAAATAAAAAAAAATACACGTTTACAAGTCATTAAATAAATTAGTATCTCCCCTGAAGGTATTTGTTTTTCTGAGTGTAGAGTTACTTGCACTAGATAGTCTGAGTATTCCCTGGCTTGCTTTACACTGGGTTGCAAGAATGACTTTCATTTTTGCATTTTGTTTCTTGCAAGTGGTACACTTGTGCTTTTACAGTAAACTAAAAGCTTGTGAAATCCTTGGATTACAAAATATTTCCTCACATTGGGTTTCAGACAAGAGGTAACACCTAAAAAGCCAGAAAAGGAAGGTCTTGCCTTATAGAGGGAGCTCTGTACAGTGACACAATAGCTGATATAAAGTGTCAGTGTAACTGAGCAGAAGGCAAAGGAACAAAGAAAGACCAAGACGCAGTGGCTGCTTTAGACAAAAGGAAAGTGGAAAGTCTCTTTTAGGATGGAGAAATTTAAGGCTGCTCTTGTGCTGGCTGGGGTTGGGGATGCTCTTGGTTATCGAAATTTCTCCCGGGAGAACAATGCTTTAGGTGCAAAGATCCAAGAGGAACTGAAAGAAATTGGAGGGCTTGGGAATCTGGTGCTGTCTTCAGACAAATGGCCAGTAAGTGACAATACCTTGATGCACATGGCTACAGCAGAGGCTCTCATCACAGGTAAGTAAGACCTGACTAGTGAACCCAGACGGGAAGGAATAAACCTGTGGAGCTGCTAGCACACTTACAAGAAACTTTTAAATAATGTGGGTGCAATGAGCTTGCAAGAAACTACTAAGAGTCTACCAGTGCTGCTGTACTGAATTATAATGAGTATAAGCCTGCTGATGGGAGCATTATTTATTCAGCCACAGAAAATAGAAGTGTGATTTCTTAGGCTTAGAGTGTCTCCCTATAGATTTTTTTAATATAATAAAACTGATTAAAATTAGACTAGCACAATTTGTGTCTATCAATTAAATCTTGTTAAAGAGATTCTCTGCACCACACACTTCCAAAAATAATACAGTCCACAAAAAATAAATCGATTTGAAAAGCTTTAAACTTCTTGTGCTGAAAATAATATACACAGAACACTTGCATAGTTTCTGTACGTTATGTTATACAGAACATTGTGATGTCACGCAGCCTGTTAGAAATTTTGTCTCTTTGAATCTGAGACTAGGTATAGCACCTGGA